CATATGTTAATGGCACTGGGATATTGGACCACTGAGAGGGATTATTTCAAGGAGTCTCTGTCCTCTTTAATAGCTTTAAACTTTCATTTGTTATGGAATAAATGAATTAATGGTATAAACCAAGCTCTCTAGGACATGTTTACTCTCTTGTGATGACATCTTCTTTAGCACTAGGAGGGCATCACCACACCAACTTAAACTTCACCAAACCTGCAAGCTATATGCCTTTGACATGGTTTTCCTGAGACTTACAGCAGTTTATAACCTTGGGAAGCTTGCTCACCTGAATCACAGTGATAGGAGGTGGTAGAACATTTAGAAGGTGTGGCCTCATGGTGCTGATCAGGTGACTCCTGTGATTAGCCTCAGAAGGAATTCTTGTGGAACACTCCTTAGTTCCTATGTTATTAAAGAAGCAAACCTGGCTGCTGAATCTCCATGCCTTCTGTCTCACTGTAATTCCTATGCTTTCTTCTCCTATAGTAGCTCATCTGGCCTCATTGCAACTGAACCAAGGGCAGTACCTGCTTTTTAAAGATATGCTGTTTTAAGCTGATTGCTAATAGAAAAGTGGGGAATTGGGTCATTGCAACATCTCATATGGAATATGAAAAGGTATTGGAGAAAGGAACTAGACCACCATCTTCATACATTGGCCAAGAATTCATCTGGAGTGTAACCATGTCTGAGGGCTTTATGGAATACAGAGTTTAAGAGAAAGAAGCTAGGGCATCTGTCTAAAGAATAATGCAAGCAAAGATACATTCACATTCTTGCTGCAAGAAGGGAAAATGACTTCAAGATAGTATTTCATACAAAGGAAGATAAAATAGAAAAATAGGAAAATCTCTATCTTATCCTATATTTGAGAAATGAAATCAGAAAGTTGCAGAAGAAATCCAAATCTGGTCAAGAAATCAACTCTTAATCCTGACAAAAGGATTGAGGGGTCATTAAATCAGTCCCTGCCATCCTAAGTCCAGAGCTCTAGAAGGCAGAATAGTTTTGTGACTCCCTGAAAAGCCTCACTGCTCAGAGTACCATAAGACTCTTCTAAATTCCAATACAGAGATCCAGGTTACAGAAACTATGGCTCAGGTAGATGTGACTCCATCTTCTTCACTGGGTATAAGCTGTATGCCTAGGAAATCGTTGTGAAACAATCTTTTTGTACACTGTGAAGATCTGACTGGTTTACCAAGGTACCTTATGGTTTAACAAAGCGCTGACTGGTCAATAGCTCTGCAGGAAGAGGCCAGGTGAAACTTCCAGGTAGAGAAAGAAACTAGAGGACACAGAGAAGAAACAGAAGATGCAAGATGGAAGAGATATAAGAAGCCATGATGCAAAATGTAGATTAATATCAATGGGCTAATTTAAGTTATAAGAGCTAGTGGGAAAAGTCTAAGTTATAGGAGGGACTTTAAAAATTAATAATAAGTCTCCATGTGGCTTTTGGTGAGTGGCACCCCAACAAAAAGTCTGTCTACATATGGCACCGAACATGGGGCTCAAATATACAAACACAGAGTCTTAGAAAGCTAAGAAAATTTCTGGGCAACGAGCCAGATGTGGCAGTTTAGTCCTGCTGTCTCTCAGGCAGTCCAGTCCTCAGTAAACAGAGGTGTGGGTATCAGCAGCTTCCTGCAGGGTGTAGCCAGCAGCCAGCTCCATTTGCTAAGCTGGGCCATGAAACAGCTGACATGGCAATTTAAGATTTGTCTCACATGGTCAGAGAATGCTGCAGTTGCTCAGTAAAGACAGATTCGGACAGAAAAAAAAATTCTGAACAGGTGGTAGTGTTTTTAAAAAAAATATATATGTAGGCTTAAAAAATGAAAACAAAATACATGTCATAGAAAATTAGTTTATAAATAATAAAATAAACCCTTTAAACAGCAAATAAAATTATATAAGAATAATAAGCCACATAAAGATGGAAAATACGCAGAGTCTGCATCCTTTATGAATTTATGTTAACTTTGAATTTTTTTCATGCTGATGAGTGAACAACAGCTGCCGAAAGACAATGGACTTTTCCTTCAAGTTTAAATACTTTAACAAAAGAAAACAAGTTTAGAATTCACTTTAGGTCACAATCAAAGGCAAGTAAGAACTACCTATTTTATTAAGTTAAGAACAAAACTTTGAACTACTACAGGGTTATTTCTACTGTAAAAAGCATACACTCCTTACTCTGCACACTCATGCTCTCCTCCTTTACAAAATGGTAACCCTTGAGAGTGTATGGATAATGTTCATTGTTTCTAATTTTCATATTTCTTTTTATTCATTATATAAGAGCAATGTTATATTTCAAAATACATATTTCAAACAATACTCAACAAATGTCTCCATAAACTCACATGTATTCCTTCTTAAGTGTATTCTGCTAAGTCTCTCCATGATCAGTTAGTGACTAAAGAACCCTGTCTATAGCAGCACTGTCCACTGAGAAGGCCAAGCCTATGCCACTGTGCCCCAAATCTCCCAGTTCATCCACAGCGCTTCTGAGCCTAGAGCTCAGGGCTGGCTCCATGAGTACAGTCTTCTGCATAGACTTTCTCCAAAACAGTCTGTAGCTACTATTGAGTTTGTTCTTTGACCATTTCATACATTCTTATTATTACACCCATCTTCCTCCATCCTCTATTAGCCCCCTCTTTCCAATAAGACCTACACATATTCAGAACTTTGTGCTGTTTGCTTTGTTTTTTATTGCATTGCATACAACAGAGACATCTGTGTGATCATGGGGTTAGAACTCTTCCCTGGAGTCAGTCTTGTGGCCCCTTAGTGCAGAAGTGAAGACAGGGATTTCCCTTCCCTGGACTCTAGCAGTAAGTAGTGATTCAGAAGCAAGGGGAGGCCCTAGGAATCTCTCCCTAAAATATTATTGACTTCAAAATGCTTTTTAAACTACTTCGCATTTCTGAAATTTTAATCTTTTTACTGTTCATTCAAAATGTTTTCATCCCTGCGTCCTATTTACTGCAAATAAAGCTTTCCCTATGCTCTGTAGATGTCTGGGGACACAATCTAGAGTGACTATAGTGGCAGCCACACTGCCCACTGTCCTTTTACTCCGGGCACTTCTAGGCTGTGAGATTCTCAGTCTGGAGCGGTTCTTTCACACTTCCTGCCTTTCAAAACACTACTTTAGTGTTTTTCTTGGGCCCATTAAAACTTTTTACATTTTCTTTTTAAAAATTATTTTTCTTTTACCAACACGATGGTAATTGCTGTGTCTTTGCTTTTCTTCTCACCTCCCAAGATCAATTTCCTTTTATCCTCACTGGTTCCAGTGCTTCCTACATACAAAGTGAGAATATGCTTCAAGGGCTTCTCATTAGCTCAGTCTTTATTGATCCCTCCATGGTCCCGAGCATGTTTGGCCTCAACTATGACTTCAAGCAGATAACTTGGTTCACAGCACAAGCCCAGAACATTCCCTCTGAATTTTAGCTCTTCATTTCCAGGCATATTTGATCTTTCCCCCATCAAAACACAAAACAAAAGCAGAATGGAACAGGATCAATTTCAGATTTCTCCTGCACGTTTACACGTAGGCATTTTCCTTGATGCCAGTCACTAAGGTTCAAAGTATTAGAAACTTTGAAGTTTGAGTCCTTCCTTCTCCTCCCACATTCTATGTGTTAAGCATAGACCATTAAATATTGTCACTCTTCTTGTGATAGGACGCCAGTTGGAGGACCCTGAAAAGGAGACAGACTCAAATTCACAGCTTTGTGCTGCCCTATCTGGCAATGGCTTGGCTTTTAATGCTCACAGTGCTCATCTTCTGTGCAAAGGAACAGCCCTCCCTTGTCAAAGGAGATGCTTTTCAGCAAGGCCTTCTTATTCATTCACGCTGAGGAGCCTAACTTTCCACACCTTTTACTTTGCTAATTCCTTCTTTTCCCTTCCCTCCCTTCCCCCTGATTTGTCCTCTCCAGCAAATACTTTTCTTTAAAAAAATCATTTTAATACTTTTATTCAAAAATATTTTTTAATAAATTTTCTTTAATGAACTTTGGCAGGGCTATCCATGTATAGACCACACAGCATGGGAGAATGGCTGTATTTGCAGCCAGGCTAAGGCGGTAGCTCACGTACTAAGAAGGTGAGGCTCTCCACTCTGATCCTTGGTTACCCCTTCTGTCTCACTCCCCAGACTTTTCATTACTTCCTTAAAGGAACCTTCATCCTTGAAGACATGACACACACTACCACCACTGGGCAGAATCTAACTGATTCCCGGCCTCAAGAGTGCAGGTTAAGACACGGGGCTCAAAACCGACCTCACTTTTATCTTAATTATTAAAAAATAATTACCGAACCCCAAATGCATTCAACTAATATTGTGAAACCTTATTCTTCCTCATAATATGTAAGGGCTATAGGCAGTTACAGCACAGCCTTGCAGCTCTGCGCTCAGCTCCTCAGGGTAGGGGCACACATGCCCTCCCGGCTCCATCACTCTTCATATACATTCCTTATTCTGCCTCGGATTCCATCTATAAGTGTAGCCATGTAACACACATGCTTTTGGTCAGTGACAGACCACATGTGCAGTGATGGTCTTACGAGGACACATCACCTTGTGGTGTCACAACGGTCTTCATCTGTTTGACAGTGCTGGAATCACCTAGTCATCCCTGAGAAAGCAGTCTACTGCTGTGCCTGTCCCATCTGAAAACACTTCCCTGCAAATCCATGCAGACGCTGTCCTCTGTGTAATTAATGCTTTCAAAGAGCTGCAGAGTTGAGCCTTCCTCCCAATTTTAGCCACTCTAAGATTCAAGGGCTATGAAGAATGGTTATCTTTTTAAGTCTATACAACAATGTGTAACCTCAGGGCTTTGAGTTTTCAGTAGTGAATATTTCATAAAAGATACAAAACAATACTGTTAAACAGATTACATATTTAAATATAGTATTTAGAGCTAAATTTTATACCTGTAACTGATCATAAAGGAATCATTCATTGAGTGAGTTACCTTTATCAATGCCGGGCAAAGGTTAAAGAATAGCCTGTGGTTGAATGTTTTAAATCTCTCCGGAAGATGCCAGTTCTGAATGATTTCTTCATCAGATATAACATGGTGGTCCAGGGCTTTGAGAGGCCAGATACTATTGACAAGAACATGTCTGTAGCCTTTCTTAAGACTCACCGGGCAATCAAACATGGTCAGTCCTATGAGACTTGCACAAGCGGCTAACACACAGATGTTCTTCAGCTTGGCAAAACCATTGTCATGAAGATAGAGGAGTTTTAGGTTCTTGAGTCCACCCCAAAAATTTCGATCTGGAAGAGTCTTTATCTGAAATAATATTTAAAATATCTATGATTCATAAAGTCTGCAAGGAAAAATGGTGAAACATTTAATATCATTTAAAATTCAATATTTTGCAAATGTCGATTGCCTAATAAAACTAACATTTCCAATTCTCCAAATGATGACTGCAAAGACATGACACACCAGGAATTTGAAATAAGCTGGAATCAATAGCATAATAGATGTATAGCCATACTCACAGGCATATATAGATATGGATCTTTCTGTGGAAAGTACTGAGGACAATTCCAGTTAAAGTTACTCACATCAGAATTGCGGACTCATCTGCACTGTACATTGAAGATGTAGTCATATGGTGCTGAAGGGGTGGCTCTGTGCTAGGAGCTCCCCTGCTCTTCCAGCAGACCCAGAACCACTCTCACTGACAACGCCCAACTACCCATAATTCCAAGGCATCCACCATGCTCCTCTGGCTTCCATGGGCACCCCCATTCACACAGAGATACATACAAAAACATACATGAAAATAAAACAAAATAAACCTTGAAAGAAAAATGATGTAAAAGGAAGTCAAACAGCCTAGGAAGACGGCTCAGTAACTGAGAGTGTCATTGCACTTCCAATGACTCCCATTCAGTTCCCAGGACCCCTGCAACTTCAGGTACAGAAACCTGGACGCCCTCTTCAGGCCTTTGTGCGAAGCCACACACATTTGAAATAGATACAGAGAGAGTCGATACATATATAATTGAAAAATACAAAAAGCAAAACATATCGTACATTTTTATATATCATTTAATTTTTTATTACGTGTTATAGTTTATGTATTTGAGCCTTATTTGTATATAATTTTAAGTTTTTCATTATATTTTCAATGGCTGGGAAGAGTGTTATAGATTAACAGGGCAAGTTTACTGACATATGAAAGCAGTTAGTGCTTACCTGGTTTCCATGGAGATCAAGTTTAATGAGCTTTACGCAGCTCTGCAGGGGCTGGATGTCAGTGATGAAGTTGTTCGAGAATATGCAGACTCTCAGAGAGATGCAGGACTGCAGGTTTTCCATGGACTTCAGGTGGAGGCCATTGTACTTTACAAATACAAAGTCCTTCTGATCTTCTATTATATTCTCATTGTAGTGACTCCACTCTTCATGGCTGGTGAGCTCTTTTGTGATTGTCCCATGAAACATCTACAAAAATGGAGATAAATATTTAAGAATGACACTGAGAGGTTAAAGAATTGGCTCAGCAATTCAAACCACTTGCTCCTCTTCCAGAAGACCTGAGTTTGATTCCCATCACCAACATGGCAGCTCAAACTGCCTGTAATTCTAGCTCCTGGGATCTGATACTCACTTGGTGACCACCAAGGATACCCACATGCAAATGCTGTATGCACATATACAAAACACAAACACAAAGTTACACATAAATTTTAAAGACATAAATATTTACAAAGAATTACTTTCAAGTTTTAAATATTTACCTGAAAAGAAAACACAATATTATCTATCATGATAATAAAAATGGTAGAATAATTAAAATAAAAATATTTAAACCCTATAGCATCTTCTATTCCACAATATCTTAAATATCTAATGCTGAAAAATTACCACTGTCCTCACCAACAAACTTGACTTTCCACGTAGGTGAGAACACACAATTTACAACAATATCATCTCTAGGGAAGACATCAGACAAAGGCAGATAAACTCCACATAATGTAGCATACATCACTGTCCTGGTTTAGAGCCAATGATTGATAAACAGTACTCTCAAGTATTAGTAAGTTGATAAAAGATCACAGCCATAGGAAGTGCATAGTGAAAACCACCCTCACAGATTGACGATTCCTAAATTGTAGCCGTCACAGTGTGTGTCCTATGTGTCCTCAATGCTCTGTCTATCAGCAAAACAGGATTCAGTCTTATAAAAACATTTGACTATAAAATTTTATTAGTTCTTTATTCTATAACTTTTTATGCCACCTTCCATATCCATGAACTTGCCCTCACTGTGGGGTAATTTCACATTTCATAGAAGGCAGTTAGACATCACAGAAAGATCTATAAGCATAAATAACATACTTGGTGGTTTTTTTCAAGATAAACTCTCCTTCCTATTAGAACCAGTTTCTACCAAGAGCAGATAAATTATTCTACATGATCCAGATAAAATAAATGCAAAATTTATATGAAGTTGCTATCAAGACAAAAAATAATATCATAACCTAACACTATAATCCTCAAACTCTAGAGTCACCTACATAATTTAATATCCTGACCTAACACTAAAATCCTCAAACTCTAAAGTCACCAAAATAATTTATAAATAGGTGATTCAAGAAATCCTAATCTAGTGCATCAGGGTCCCAGAGCTAAAGATTTAGGGTCTTTTAATCAGACAATTCATGGACATTTTGACAGATTAGCTCACATTACAAATGAATCACCCTTGCAAATTTAAAGCCACAGACCTGGGATGAGTAGATGTATTCACTATAATGCAGTAGGTTCTGTAGACTCTAAAATGCAGGCTGTATCTATATTGGGCCTTATTTGTTTGTTTTAATTATACAACTATAGAAGCCTCTCCCTTAGTTTTTCTTCCAAAGATCCACATTTTTTCCATTTTAGTGTAAAGTTCAGATGACAAGGGTTTATGAGCACCATGTACCTGACAAACCAGCATAACATGTCTCAAAGCAGAAAATTAGATTCTTTCACTTGGAACCAATAACTGTTCCACAAAGAATTGTAGAGTGAGAGTCATATAATAAGTGTGCTATTTTTATTATGATCATCATGTGTTTTTTAAATATTTTCATACAGTATAATTTCATCATATCTTTCCCCTTTCCCAACTCCTCCAAAACCCCTCTCCTCAACTTCATCTTCTCTCTAAAACACACACACACACATACAAGCATAAACACACACACACACACACACATACAAGCATAAACACACACACACACACAGGCACATACAAAAAGAAAGCAAAGCACATGTACATACACAAAACAAACAGAAAACATGAAATCTTTTTTGTGTGGTCAACTATTCCTACAAGTGTTTAACTGGGCTTATGTCTTCAGTGATAGTCTGTATGACAGTAGATTCTGATGGCAGAATGGATGGCTGAGAACCTCTATCCTGATCTGTAGTGGGAGGCACACTGAGAAATGATGTGTGAAAACCCACTCCAGATGACTGACATCCTCCAACAAGGTCACATCTCCCAGTTTTTCCAAATGTTCCACTATCTTGGGACCAATTATTCAAATCTATGAGCCTACGGGAACCATTGTCATTCAAACTCCCACAGTGCTGGAAGGCACTATACATGCCGCCCAAGGAGTAAAGTTAGCAATCACACCCAGCTGTGAACCCTGGGAGCTGCAATTGTGGCCTTCCTACAAGATATACCCCCTGGCTCAACAGTGTCTCAAATCATATGGTAGTAACCAACTACTTTAAAATTTTTACTTAAGGCCCCCTCTATTAGGTAGAACCCATGCCTGACACTGTTATGAAAGCAAAGAACAAGAGACTATGTAGGCCCTGGGCCCTAGAGGAAAAGCTACTACTACTACTCTGATAAATAAACACAGCAGGAAAAGGACTCATGAGCCGGGCGGTGGTAGAACACACCTTTAATTCCAGTACTCAGGAAGCATAGGCAGATGGATCTCTGTGAGTTCGAGGACAGCCTGGTCTACAGAGCTAGTTCCAGGACAGGCTCCAAAGCTACAGAGAAACCCTGTCTCAGAAAACAAAACAAAAAAATAAAAGAGAAAAAGAAAACAACTCTTAATGGCACATTGCTATCCTCACAAATCAGTGTCTCACTCAACCCTCATCAGAGAAGCTTCCTCTTGCAGGAGACAGTACCTAATAACATGGTTCGATAACTGCAGGTGTAAGAGACTTTAGAATACTCTGCCCTAAAGAGAGTGTCTGTTCCACCCCTCTGGTGGCAGATATTTTTTTTCTGCTTTAGGCCAACAGAAACATTGAGAAGTATAGCCTCCCCATCATGACTTGCCACATCAAGTGCTCCTTTCTTGGCATCATGAAATAGTGTGGATTTGTTTTAGTGAAGAATCAGGATCTGCCGGTTACAACTAAAGTACTTATCTTACAACAGGGTCCACACTTGTCAATCACTATGCAATAGCATTAGTTATTAGTGTATCATATGGGTATTACTGTACTGATATCTACAGTGTCCTTAACCTTTCATCCACTTGCTGTCAAGCTCCCAACAACCTAGATTTTTAAACTGTTTCCATACCTTTATATCTGTCATAATTATATGTGTATGAAAAATATAGCAAAACTGTATATATGACATAAATTTGTCATTATAAGAAGTTAAGGGTATATGGGGCTGATCTAATGGGAGCTCACCAAGGCCAGCTGGACTGTGACTGAAAAAGCATGGGATAAAACCGGACTTTCTGAACATGGTGAACAATGAGGACTGATGAGAAGCCAGGGACAATGGCACGGGATTTTGATCCTACTTCATGTACTGGCTTTGTGGGAGCCTAGCCAGTTTGGATGTTCACCTTCCTAGACATGGACGGAGGGGGGGCGGACCTAGGACGGAGGGGGGCGGACTTTCCACAGGCAGGGAACCCTGACTGCTCTTTGGACTGGAGAGGGAGAGGGAGAGGAGTTTGGGGGGAGGGGGAGAAGGGTGGGAGGAGGGGGAGGGAAATGGGAGGTTGGGAGGAGGCGTATACTTTTTTTTCCTTTTCTCAATAAAAAAAATTAATAAAAAAAAGTTAAGGGTATATTAAATACATCCAATTAGATTCCCCTTTGACTTAATAGTGTGCATTTTTAAGCACTCTTGATATTTTTTCTTTTTTTATCAGCCCTGTGAGAATTTTCTATTTTGATCCCATTAACCCCCTCCCCCAATACCTCCCTGATGGACGTCCCCTTCCCTACCAACCCAACTTTGTACCTGTTTTATTTTCACTCATCACGGGCAGTTGTGCTGCCCATATATACTTGCCCTTGTGTCGCCTTCCACTAGCATGTGGTCAGCCCACAGAGGGTGCACGCTTAGAGAAAAGTGTTTCCCAGAAATACCAATTACCAATAAATAGCTCTTTAGCTAGAGCAGGGACCCTCCCCCACTTCCCTTACCAGTGCTGGAATTGTTCCTGGGCGTCCTTGACAGATCTTAGGCATTCTTTCACAATTGCTGAGTGTTTGAGTGTTCGTATGTTCCTATGCTGAGAGCAACTGCCCTGCTGTGTTCATAAAACACTGTTTCATTACAATGGTCCACAGCCATGACTCTCACCCTGATGTCACCCCATCTTCACAATGACCCCTGAGCTTTGGGAGGGGGTTTAAGATGGGTGTCATTTAAAGCTGAGTACTGTTCTGAGTATCTTTTTCTCTGCACCTAACCAGCTGTGGGTTTCTGTTAATTGCCATCTATTGCACCAAGAAGTTTCCCTGAAGAGAGATGAGAGATGCCCTAACCTATGGTATAATGATGTTGTTATGAGTCACTAATATTTTCCGTTTAGCAGAGTAATGGTGGTACGTTTTCCAGTGAAACTCATTTTTGGCTATAAACGTGGCTCAGTAGGCAAATACCTGCCTACTATTCCCACATACCTCTTTTGATGGCCAGCATTTAATATAACTCACTTTTAAAGTATACAGAAACATTACATTTCATGGATATGGTGTATTTTACCAATCCAATCACCTATTAAAGAGATTTTAGCTGACTTAAAGCTTGGGAGATTACAAATGAAGTTGATACAAACATTCACAGGTTTTCATGTACACATTACATTTCAATTCATTTGGATAAATATCAACGAGTTTACTTTCTGGATCATATAGTATGGTTTATGTGATGAACTGGCTCTCTTTGGAATCAGCTGTTTCCATCAGCAACAAGCTGAGAAATTAATCCTCCACATTCTTATTAGTATTTGGTGTATCGGTATCAAAGCCAGTCTGATGGCTACACAGAGGTACCTCACTTTTAGAGTTTACAATTCCCACAGATAGATGATGCTGAACATCTTTCTCTGTGCTTGTCTGCCACCTGAGTGTGTCCTTTGATGAGGAATTTTCAGCTCCTCTGTCCAGTTTTTGTTGGCTGTTATCTTCCTATTGAGTGAGTACCTTGCATTGTTTTGATGTCAGTC